CAGGCTTGAGGAGTCGTGGAGCAACCTGGTCTAGTGGAAGGTGTCCCTGCCCATGGCAGGGGGTGGGACTGGATGGTGTTTGAGGTCCCTTCCAACCCAAACCACTCTGTGATTCTATGCAGTGTGACCAATTGACATTTTCGATCATTTGAAATGCACAGACTCATCTTGCAAAGTGAGTAACTTTAATATCTCCTGTGTTAACTGGCCACGTATGGTTTGTGTCCGTAGCAACTCCGTATTTGCTGACCAATCACTGCAGCCAGCTTGCACAGATTCAGCCTCGACTTATGCCAAGCTCCCTAGGATCACACACAAGCAGCAACTTTGCTACGCTGTGATATTGTGGACTCTGTGTTCAAGGTGATGCTCTCGGGCAGGTTCATACCGAGCTCCTGCAATTTGCTGCGGCAGCAGTAACAACCCATTAAAGGCAAGTTTTGTGCACATGCAACCTCAAAAGGGGTGAAGTTAAAAGCAAATTAAAAACTTCAGAGTTAAGATATTTCCCTACTGGAAATCTATTACAGGCCTACAATTCAGGTCACTAGTAGTAAATCTCTTTATGAAAGATTTAAACAAAGCTGGTTGGGAAAGCCCTTCTACATATGGTATTAGTCTGGATTAAGCTGTGAAACAGCGTATCCTCACACATAATTATTCTGGAACAGATACTGCACCCTACATTCCCACATCTATCTGCAAAAGCACTCAAGAATACACAAGTAGAATCCTTAGTGACACTTCTGATCACCATACGCAGTCAACTGCAAAATAATCACAGAATTTAAGTGAATAACAACCAAAGATGTCTCCTAATTTAGGCAAAAAGGACAAAAAAAAAAACCCAGATGGAAGAAGAGGGGGAGACAGACAGTCCCTGACAACTAGGTAAGAAAATCCAGCAGCCCTGGGCACTCTGGAACAGGCTACAAAGCCACAGGCGGCAACACTTAATGTCACACTGCAAGTTCACTTCAGTGGTCCAACACACAGCTCTGAAGTGTTTAAAGAAATAGTAATATGAAAAAGAAGGATCAACAGAGAAACCAGGAACAAATGAGGGAAAAATTAAGAGTAAAAAGACTTGGAGAACGTCAGCGGAAAGAGCGGGATGCTAAAATCATAGCATTGGAATGAAGGGCAGAAGAATACGCTGGCTCACTTGCTCAGATTTGAGGGAGGAAATACACAACTATGCACAGACATTTCCCCTTGTCCAGCAGAGGCATTAGGGGGGAAAGGAACTACATAAGCCCCAAAAAGCTGGAGTATAATAAGGTAGTGTGCCAGCTGGAGTTCTTGCCAAACAAGACATTTTGAGAGTATAATGCAGCATTTACCACAAATCCCACCTGTCACTTGTGACCAACGCCTCTGTGTAAAACATGTACTTAAAGTAAAACAAGCATTTAAGAAATTCCATGTTTGCAGAAATGTTACATTTGTGAAACATTTGAAACAGAAAAACTAAATTAAATAGCTGCTCGATGAAAACTGCTGGCCTTATTCCAAATAGATGTATTTTAGAAATCACACTATAGGCACTAGTAAGCTTTTCTTGCACCTTGGCTGTTTTCCTGCTGCAAACTGGGACTATGGGATCCCTAGGCTGTCATTCCATTTCGGATCAGAGCAGTATAAAACAAAGACTTAGATCCAACGTGTAAAAGCACATAAAAATAATGCAGATCTTACGTTACACCAGGATGAAGATTGTATTTCTTCTTTCCAAATCGGGTTTGCTGCGCAAAGAAATCGTAACGCTCCGATTTCTTCCACATGTAATAAAATGCCACACACTCACCAACCGATCTTGTTCGTACCTAGGAAACATGCGCCACGCTAAGTTCGATGAATTTAAACACATTTCGGGCAAAAGGTTACCGTTTACACCAAAAGGTGTGCAATTCAAAGTCAGCGCAGGAAATAGTGGAAACTACTGACTCAAAATTGCAGAGGCCCAGAAACAGAAATGCAAAGTTCAACAGTGTTTCTAAAAACAGTGAAGATACTGCGAGGTGCTGCAAGCAACAGCCTCAGGAGAAATATTCAAGCTGGTTGCACCAGTCTGTTCAAGCCCAGAATAAGACCCAAAGGATGCAGACCTTGCCCTGTGTGTGCACGGCAGGTCTTGTGCACTTTGTCAACTCGGGGCTCACAGCCACAGTGACAGAGGATTCTGGGCTTTGACAAACCGATTTGGACACATACGGAGTAAAAATCAGAAGTAAACGTGGTGGTTTGTGAAGGAAATCGAAGATAAGAATTTATTTACAATTGCGTTGTTTAAAAAAAAATGTGAGAACTACACTTAAAATCAGTGTTTACCTTATTTGCCTGAATCACATGAAAATCCTTGCCATAGACTTTCAGTCCTTGTTCAAAGTTCCTACATTCTTCTTCTGTCCAAACTGATAATTCTTCTGCAGCAAGGAAGCATAACACAGAAAATACTTAAAAAAGCATACGGCCAATAAAAGAAAAGAGACAGAAAACATAAGTGGTGTTCAGGTTGCTTACACCATCTGCTGACTACATGAGAACCACCTCCAGAAATTTCACTTACTAGTGCAAAAACGAGAATTTTCCCTTCTAGGGAGTAGGTGGGAAACTTGGCTGCCTGAAGTAGCTAGTTATAAATGGGACTGTTATAAATGGCCCATAACTCCAGCCCTGCCGCCTCGGGGAGGGGATTAATAGCGAGGCAGCAGGAAGAAGGGCTTAGAAACTTGGGCTCGCCATTCTGCCCCTAAAACACCAGAAACAAGTTGGGACACGGCATGAAGGACTCCAAACTGTGGGCTGAAACTGGTTGCTGGAATTTGAACACAGAAAAAGGAATGGGGACTGAGTCCTGTATTGCTGGCAAGAATCAGCAATGACAGGAAATCTTGGCCCCACTGAAGGCAGAATTAAGCTCCTAATGACTTTCAGCCCCACTTCTAAGACTTAATAGAATTTGGCCTTATTGATTCTTGAGGTCAGGAATACATAAGAACTAAAACCATGGGAGAACAAACTAATCTTCTCCGCTTGCTCATTCTCGTCTTGCGATTTTCACAGTAAACTCAGGAGAAGCCACAGGTTTGAAGCAGAACCAACAGATCAATATGCAAAGAAAATAACTTGTGCCTTCTCGCAGTTTCTTGTTCCTTTGAGTATAAAGATCAATACCAAGCCAGGAAATTCTTAAGGTTCCAAAAGCTTCTTAAGACCAGGGTGTTTTTAGTGTTACACCTTTAAACAGAAGATTTAGATGCTCGTTCTCCTTTATTTAGAATTGCGAATTAGTTCATTTTACAGTGCCTGTGTAACAAATAAAGTGGCAGTTCAACAATATAAACTCAACTTTCAGTGTATGCTCACCTCTGGCTGCTTTTACGTTAAATCTCAACCTTCGTAATGATTCTTCAGTATCAAAATTGCACTTAACCAGTTCATACAACGCCTGGAAAGATGAAGAGACACACATTTAACGTTCCTGATACCACTCAATTTAGGTCGTGCCACAGAAGCATGCTTAGTAAATCACTAATACCTATTAAGAATAGATTAGAAAATAAACTCTTTGAATGAATGTAATTTAATTAAGGTAGTTCCTCTGTTTAAATTTTCACATCTCTAATTACAAAACCAAGTAAATATCCAGGTATTTTAACACTTCCAGCCATTACATCCATTTGAAAATTGATGGGTTGTTTCTATATGAGGAAAAAAAAAGTAGCCTGCATTTATCTACCTTTAAAAATACCTGTAACTGAGAAACCAGAACTCATTCATACACATTTATATATGAAATAACGCACCAATACATCAAGCAATGTTAAACCTAAGTTAAAGTTTAATATTTGTTGAGAGGGAAAAACCCATCACATTTCTATTTCCACAAGGAGTAATAAAGCTGTTTCAAAAGCAATTTTAATTCTTGTGAGTAAAATAAAACAGAATCAAGGGATAATTAATCCTGCAATATTAAACTACAAATCCTAATTATTCTTACATACCTGCTCATTGTCTTTAATGTGTGATCCTTCAGGAATTGCATCCAGGCCTTTCTCATCACCCGTACGCCTCGATGCTTCATTTAGGAACTCGATCACTTTATCTTCTGGTAAGAAGTCAGGGTTCCACAGCAGCTGGTCATCATTTTCATACACTGGATTAACCCCAGGAAAAATAAAAACAAGCTAAACCAACAATACAAAAGTTTTTTCCCCTCTTATAAAGCCAAGGATTAGGAAATCTCAGAAGATTCTAAAGTTAAACAGTTCCTGAAAGGAAACTTTGCTAAGACCTTCCTACCACTCCCAAGGAAAACTTTGCAAGACAATCCTTCAGGTAAAGATTGCTGCATTTTAATACTACCAAATCTCGCCCGGTTTTTCACAGCTTTGCAGGAGCTTTCAGACCAGGGAAGCCAGAGTAAATGGAAATTAACAGGAGGAGCACAGCCGAATGATACACCCTCTGAATTACCTCCCCTCTGTATTCTGAAGAGCCTACAAGCTTTACAGGATTACAATACCAGTGCAGAGAAACACAGTGCAATTCAGGTTATTAAAACACAGAATCAGGCAAGTATCCAGACCTTGCTTGCGTCTCAGTGCCCAAAGAAAGACAACCTTACAAAAACCAGCAAGCAAGTAGCTTCAACACGGATTCCGTTAGCTCAGTGAGCGCCTTGGCTCTCGCTCAGCAAGGGAAAGGAGGAGCGAACGCTCGGAAAGCGCGGTCGGCACAGGAAGGGAAGATCCGGCAGCATTCTAGGCAGGGGGAAAGGTCAGAGCGGCAGGTAGGTGCGGCTCCACTTGACAAAATGTATTTTTCACATGAAACCAGACTATTTTTCACATGAAAACAAACGCATAAACCCAAAATTGATAGGGAAAATTACTAAGTGTCTTGCAAAGAAAGACAGCTCCACTTTATAAATGACACAGTCTTTGGAAACAGCTTACAACAATTTTCTGGGAGCTTTTTTTTTTCCCCAAAAACTAGTCCTAATTTGAGGTTTGGTTGCTCATTTAAGAAGATCCTACATATCTTGGGATACGAACTCCAGCAGAAGCAACAATTCTTTTCAGGATAACTGGTTCTAAGGCACCCTTACTGAGGCCAGCTAAGCACACTGCAAAGTTCCCGAATGGCAGCGGTCAGGGACTCTCAAAGCAGCTTTGGCACCTGGCAGTTTTCAGAGCTGTCCTTCCATTTGCAAGTCCAAGCCTTCTGAAAACGGATCTTTTAATGTTGTAGAGTTGTCATAACCTGGAACTGTTTAGTAGCAGCTAGTCTGGTCTCCAGGCTTACTTCTCAGAGAGCCAGTTCACTGCAAGTAGACCAGTGTAGGTTACAGGGTCGTTCTTCCCTCCCAGTGGCATATCAGAACCATTCCGAAAAGCGCTGTGGTTATTCTAAAACGTTCAGCATTTTTGTGCCTTTGTTTATGGACTGGATATGGAAGGACTAGCCTTCGTGATGCCTGGGAATTTTACAATCAGAATTTCCCCTTCGTTAGAGAGCAAAGATGATGGGATATGTACGTGGAAGTACTAATGTGCTGGATTCAGTCAGGAAA